ATTGGAATCTCAACTGAAATAATACCATCACACTGGAAATAACAAGCCCCCAGTTTCCCAGTAACAGAATCATCGGAAGTCTTGAAATGCAAGAAGTAATATTACTTCTTGTGTCTTCCTGAGAAGATGATATCGCTGGAATCTGAATGAGCAAAATGTTCTAGATCGTCTGTCTAGTCTAAGTTCCTGGTTCTGCAGTGTTGTAAACCACAAACACCGTTGAAAACTTTCCTCAACATAAAAAATCTGTTCATTTGTTTTTAAAAACCTGTCTCTAACTTCATTGCTTTGTTTTTCAGCTGGGATCTGCTATGTTCCCCTTGTGGAGAAGAATCAGTGCTCAGTAATCTTTGAACGAGGTATGACGTGACTTCCATCAAACTCTATTGTCTTTCAGTATTCACACCAGCAATAAACCGATTGCACCTTCAACAAGAACAACATTTCCTTCTGTGTAAATCTCTTAATTGCTGGTGCTATGAGAAACAGCATTTCTTCTGTGTAAATCCTTCTGTGAAGTGAATTGCTAGTACAATAACAAATAAATATCAGTAAACAATATTTTCTGCAACACAGATTGTTATAAATATCTGAATATATTAATTGATCTCCCTGCTCGGTGGACCTGTCCTGTGGTTCAGTGTTTTCTTGCCGAGTGGAACAAAAGGGGGGTCGATTGTGATGGGGGGGGGCTGTTTTTGTAGTGATTTATCTGTGCTTCACTGGCGCATGTAGCCCCAAAGATCGCCCCCCCATAGAGGCTTGGGGAGACCACAGTGTCCATGCCCCGCCCACACCACGCCCACTCAGCAGGTTCCCATGGATACGCTGAGAGGAGCAATCAGGGCTCAGTCCCGCCCCTTAATCAGGGAGAGACCTGCAGTGTCACATGGTGCGGATTGAACCCGCGCCCCCCGTTTAAAACAGCGACGCACAGGACGGACCGAAGAAATTTGTGGGCTCAGGAACGGAACGCGCCGCCCCTACACCGTCACGTCATAGGACATGGACCTCCGCCGGCAGCACCTCCGGAACCAGACCCAGTAGAGCAGCAGCATGGCGGCCCAGTAGCAGACATAGGCGACCGAGCCGTAGATCAGGAACGGGACCTCGGCGAGCTTGGGCTGCGAGCTCCAGTCGCAGCGGCTCTCGCGGTAGATGGTGTAGCACAGCCCGGCCAGCAGGGCGGCGCCCCACACGGACAGCGGCAGCAGGGGCATGTAGTTGCCCACCAGCTTGCGCCTCCCGGAGGTGCCCCAGCTGCTCTTGGTCATGGTGAGGATGGCGAAGTACTTGGCGGGCAGCAGGCTGGTCATGTAGAGCATGGCGTAGAGAGACATGAAGACCATGACGCCGTTCTTGCGCAGCAGGCAGGCGTACAGCGACTTGGCCAGCCCGATGACCTGGATGCAGATCAGGACCCAGAGGATGTGCCACAGGCTGCCCGAGTAGAACAGCTTGATGACGGTCGCCGTGACGAAGAAGGGGAAGACGCCGGCCACGATGGACTCGTAGGTCATCCAGAGGTGGTGCTTGTGCCACCAGAGGGCGTTGTAGAGCCACTCGCGGAAGTAGGACTTGGTCCAGCGGGTCTGCTGGTTCAGCCAGCGCAGGAACTGGGCCGGCGTCTCGGTGTAGCACCGGGACCGGGCGGTGTACCTGTGGGCCGAGGGGGAAGGGTCAGGAGGAAGTGGACCAGCGCAAAGCCACGCGGATGGAGGGGAGATGAGCGTAAGTGCTACCTAGGTGATCAGTCAGCGATCACTACATGTGATCTGTAGGGAAGCCTCCCCATACTCCACTAATACTGTTCCAGGTACTCAAAATCCTCAAAGGCAAACTTCATCAGAGTCAACAATACAGCACTACGAGGAACTATGAGAACTGAGAACAGGAGGCGCTTCTTTACACAAAGGGCAGTGGGAGTGGGGAGCGAGCTGCACAGGCATGTGGTTGGCTTTTCTCAACACAGCTGGGCAAGAACAAAAGGATTGTCATGTTCAGAGCTGGTGAAGGAACAGCATCTCTTGAGAGATACCGGTCTTGTGTGCAGGATATTCTCAGTGTACAATTTGTTGTACATAGTGTTCTTTATGGAGCATGACTGATACAGATTTCTGTCTTCTACTATCTTTGACGCGGATGAAAGAGGGGAAGATCAAGGATCAGGGGAGACTGCTGTGTCTGAGACTGCAGGGTGTGAGGAGA